TTATTAAGTATTGAATTGAGGGTTTTATATGATTGAGGGTCCGGTATGAATTATATCTTTTGATGTGAATTGCTGTTGAGTTTTGTTGTTCATAGATACTAAAAACACAAATTGATGTAAACTCCTAAGATCAAGCTTCTTAGGATTCAACAAGATTATCTTAGTGTTAGACTAATGATGCAAAACTAATAAGTTCTCACAAAAAAAGAAGAAGAAGAAGATAACATTGAGAAAGAGAAAAGAGAATAGTGTTCTGTATCTCTAACTCCTACTGATTTTCAATAATTATAGGAAGGGATATGGAGTGTAACTATAATTAATCACAATAATTAAAAATAATTAATTTTAAAATATTTGATAATTTAAAATGAATTAAAACTATAATGATCGAATTACTATATCTCATTAATATTGATATTAATTATATTTTAACACCTATAATTAATAAAATAATTACTTTGAATAAATTTAAACTCAAAATAATTTCGTGAATAAATTTACCTTTTGAAATATCTCAGAATATAAAACAATCTCCACATATTTCAAAAGGTATAAAAATAAATTTTGGATTTTCATATAGGTTGTAATGCATCGAACATGGTATAGCAAACTATCAAACTTGACCTAGATTGATAAAATATAACACACACTGTAATGAGTATAACAAATTATTGAACCCAAAACACTTGATTTATGTTAGAGGTTAATCAATCATAGTACACCCTATAATTTTTGGCATTATCATTGTGTTACACTTTTAGTTATGGGCATTCAATATTCATGTGTGTTCTAAAAATTTTACCAATATTTCATGCAAATGACTCCATTTGATACTCATAGAAGTGATTTCATCAAATGTATGCTGCAAATCATACACCACGGTCAAATTTTCTTATAATCACATAAAACTTAACTATAAAGATCATCCTTTTATTAATGTAGCCTTAACACTTTTAAGAAATTAAAAAAATAAAATTGATTTAAAACCAATTTTAGTACTAACAAAACTAACAAGTGACTTATTTTTCCCATTGAACCTTTTTTCATGAAATCTCCAATAACAAAGTTTGGGTTACCATGCATTCAAGTGACTTTAATAAAATCTCATTCTCCCTCGATATTTATAAATAACTAATGGTGTTTCGTAAATAATGTCATTCAAGTGACTTTAACAAAGTCTCTTTTGCCTCGATGTTTATAAATAATTAATCATGTTTTGTAAATAATATCTTCTTTAAGGGTTTAAAGTTAAAAAATTGACCAAATCCATTATTGACTATAGATATTAATTTTCAATCTTTTTAAGCAAATGCTATACACATAATTTCTTAATATATATTTCCAACAAAATATTTGATGTTAAAAGGTTCTCAACCACTAAGCCTCATAATCAACCATCTTTAGAGCAACAACTCTAATTCAACAATTACATTTGGTTGATATCAAAATAATTTTGCTACAAGTAATGACATAACATTAGTAAATTTTGACTCATTTTGATCAAAAGTTCAATTAATCACCATTGATTTCTCTAATACAATGAAAAATCTACAATATTAAATATAATTTATGGTACCACTCCGATATATCATCACATATAAATTTCTCATATGGAGAACACCGCATTTGACATATAGTCAAGTAAAATTACTCAAAATTGTTAACAATTCATAAATGACAATAACTTTTACGAGTTAAACTTAAAAATCACTGGTATTACAATACCACAAAGGTATCAATATATTTTATTTATATAAGATTTATGGTGAGTCTCATCTCATTCATGATAATAATTAATATCATATTAATAATCAGTCATTGTCAATACGAATAAATTATCAAATAATAATTGTCTACATCATTCTCTAAGCGATGCATCACAATTTATTTTCTCCATTATTCATTATGTCTCATTATTTTATTTTACAAAAGCAATCTCGTAAGTGGATTAATTTCAAATCACATGCTATTGAGTAACACAAAACTAATAACACCATATTAGTAAAATCACCTAATTGCATAAAGTCAAGTCATAATTACAAATAAATTCAAATATTTAAGATAATGCGCACAAAATAATAATAGTAATTAATATATACATGTATATGTGAAAAAATATCAAATGTGTTTAAAATTAATTTTTGTAAAATTATTTCATTCAATAACTCATACAATAACTCATAGTTTATGTTGAATTTCAATGATCCAATCATTAAATTAAAATTTTTTAATATATAGATTAAGTTTACAAATTTTTAAAATTTTTCAAAATCATATAATATTTTCGTTATATAATTTTAAATCAACGTGAAAAATACTTTTAGGATTATTAATCAATTTAAATTAATAAAATGAAGTATTAAATAATTTTTAAAATTTTATATTATAAATGATTTTACATTTTTTTAAAACGATTACATGTTAATTAATGCATTAATAATATTATTTAATGAAATTAGAGTTCAAATTGTTGTTGAAATATTTATTATATTAAATATACAAAAAAAAATTATACTCACTTTTTTAAAACAATTTAAAGGAGGTCTAATTATCATTTTAATTCTTATAATCTCTTAAATTTTATATTTTAATTCTTATAATAAATGACAATGATTAAAAAAACAAAAAACATATATATATATATATATATGTGTTAAAATAAAATATTTTTAAACTATAAAAATAAAAAGTAATTTTTTAATCTATAGAGATTAAAAGAATACTTAATTTTTTAAAAATATGTATAAAAAAACAATTAAAAATACTTAATAAAAAAAATCAATTTTTATCTTTAAGATATAGTTGGTTAAAAAAAACCCTTCACAAAACATAGAGTACGTCCATTAAAAAAAATGCATAGTAGGTAATAGGTATGTTCCCATTTTATCTTAGGGGGACGTTTATTTATTTACTTTTATGTTTAGAAATCATTATTAATGAGAGTCATAAATCTCATACATTATGATTTATAATAATCATGAAAATATATTTGATTGGTCATAAATAATTTTAGGATATTTATAAATATTATATGAAAATATTTATTTATTATATTAAATAAATAAATAAAGATAATATAAGGTGTTTTTTATTGCATTTAAACTTTATTTTTACTTTGAAAAAAGTTTGTTTCCCATCTTTTCATGAGAATAATTTTGTGAAAAATACAAAAACAATTATTAGGAAATAATATTTTTTAGTAATGCTATTTTTAAAATAATAAATAAAAGGCAAAAAAATAAACATTTTTTACATCAAATTTTTCAAGGAAGTAAAATCTTTTTGAGTACTAAACGTTTCCTAATGCTTTACTTGGGAGAAAGGTAGGAATTGAAAGAAAGACCAAAATAATAAGTGAAATTTGATTTGATATGAAACAGATAAGAAATATATATAGTGAAATATGTAGTTAATTGATAGAGTGAAATTAGATAAGAAATAGATGAAAACTGATATTTTAAAATTATATTTTATGTAAATATAAAAAATTTATACAATTATCATTTTACCTTTCGACTCTTATTTATAATACATTACTCATTTTACCATATTCCAATATGATGATTTTCACACATAATGCATTATCCATTAGCATAATGCATTACTTATATGAGGAAACTTCACTTCTTATAATGAATTACTTGTTATTGAAATGTATTATTATCTATCGGAGGAAACTTTGTTATTGAAATGTATTATTATCTATCGGAGGAAACTTTGTTTCTTTAATTACTGGTTATATAATACAAAAGAAATAACAATTATTTATGACTTTATTACTCAATTTTATGACAATTCCCTTATCTTAGAAGGTAAATTTTTAATCATAAAATTCACCATCTTCTCCACTAAAATACTCGCTAATTTCCTCTATTAAACACATATTTTTTTTTGAATATATACGTCTTAATCTATTTCTCGACATGACAATTCCCTCTAAATCCACTATCAAAATATAGTGTTAGTGAAATTTATAAATCATATGCTAACAACATCATTACTATGAGGAAAAAAAAAAATCAAAGACACAAGTGGTGTGAGTAGAAAACTCAACCATGTATTTTTTATTTGCTAAAATTCAAAGTTTTTACATCATTGATATGCAAAAATATATATACATAATTTATTTATTTGACTTATTACTGCTCAATTAAAAGGTTATGGATTGACCACTCTAATCACAATCATCATTTTATTAAATTTTATAACAACTATCTTAAAAGTTATATTAATAAATAATTTTTTTATTAATTAAAGGTGTACAAACTTTTATATCAACAATACATAATCATTAAACCCTTATTTATTTGCTGAGATAGCTTCACATTTTATTTTTTTTACGTTTTAGTCTCTCATTTTAATCCTTTAATATAACTTGTTTTATTCTTTAACTATTCATTTTAGGTATAAAAAACAATTATTCATTTTTTTTAAACAAACAATTATTAATTTTAGTCTTTATATATACTTAAAACTAATTAAATAGTATACATGTGAAGACTAAAATAAATAATTTTTAAGTATGAATGGAAGACTAAAATGTAAAGTTTGTGTAATTATATAGAAACTAAATAAATAATTAATTAAACCTTTGTATTATTATTATTTTGTTTTTGATAGTCTAGGTACACTTGTAGAATAACGTGATAATTATACCAAAAACAACTTTATACTAAAGTGCAAAAGAGAAGAGAGAGTGAAGGAATAGAATCTTTTTTATTTTATTAGTAAAATAATAATAATTTGTAGGAGTGATTAAAAAAAAAAGGAGTAAGAATTAAAAAGGAATAAGAAAAAGAAGGTCCCATAACATAACAGTAACACTAACAGGTGGAGCGGTTAAATTGAGAATGTGAGTAACGGCTAGAAAAGAGGTAAGGAAAGTGAGTAAAAGATCCGTAGCCGTTGGATGCGAGGGAAAATCGAAGGGTCCTAATTGAATTAAGATTCGACCGTTGGACGCGTATAAGACATAGCCGTAGAGGGAACGTTGCATTCACAAAAACAAAGGAACACAGTATTTCACTTTCTCAAGATCTTTTCTCGAAGAAAGGAAAAAAGTTTGTTGTTTTCAGAGCAGTGTTTTCAATCCGCGGTGGCGACGACCGACGTAGGCGGCGGCAGCGGAGGAGGAGAGGCGCAGAACGGTGGTTTTCAGGGGTTTCTGTCGTCGCTGTTCTCCACTCTCGGCGGTGTTTTCGGCTCTACGTTTCAAGAAAAATCGTCGCACTCAGTCATGGCTTCTAGAGCTGTTCCTGCGCAGGGACAACCCACCAATGGTGTGTGTTTTTTATTTGGTCTTTTGTTGTTTTCTTGATGTCAAGGTTGATAAATGTTTGGGTTTTATTTTTTTTATTTGGACAAGTTTTCAACATTGGTCCCTTTGAATGTTAGTTGAAACTTGAAATGTTATATAGTTTGAGATTTGTCGAGTGAGATCTGATGAGTATGGGAAGTTTTTCTGGTTGATTAGTTTTCTTGTGCATCTTCTGTTAATGAAGTTTTCATGTCTGTTGTGCTTTCTTTTTGTTAATTTTTTTATTTTTTTCTGAATGTCCCTCTTATGTGTTTGTGTGGTTTAGGTGAAAACAAGCAAAAGAATGTGGGAGCTGAAGGGAGAAACAGAAGGGTGCTTCAGGATATTGGGAATCTTGTGACTAAACAAGCAGATCCTGGTGTCAATGTGACTAAGCGTGTCACAAGGTATTTTTTCTTTTCTTTTTATTATTTTTTTAATCTTTCTAGACTCATGTTTTCGATGTGACCATGATGCCTAATTCCTTCTGTCTTTGTCAATTAGGAACTTTCGTGCTCAATTGTTGGCGAATGCACAAAAAGCTGCGGCAGAGAAGAACAAGGTTGCATTTTCCTTTCCTTTCTTTTCTTTTTCTCAACTTTATTTAGTCTTGACCTCTGATTTTGGAAGGGATCATGAAAAGTTTTCTTTTTGTAACGGCTATTATGACAAACTCTGAATCTGTTTGAGTGTGAATGTTTTTCAGAAGCCATACACTGGAGTAGAGAATGGCGCAGTGGTAGCAAATGGAAACTTTATTGCTGCAAGGAAGGTGGAACCTTCTAAGAAGGCAAAAGAAGAACCTGAAGTAATCATCATTAGCTCTGATGATGAATCAGAAGAAGAGATGGAGAGCCCAGCTGTTAAGGGAAGAAAGGCAAGGGATATGTCTGCCAGGAAAAATGGAAAGGCCTTCAGTTCAGCCCTCTCAGCTAGAAGCCAGGTTCTTCCTTGTTCCTTTTTTCTTCACTTTGGAATGTGGTTTTGGGTTGGGGAATACCCTTTTTCTTGTACTTTGTTGTTTGTGTTCTAACAAGTAACAACTAAATTTGTCAACCTCAGGCTGCTTGTGGAGTCCCAAGGGATTCAGTAGTGAACATAGATGAAACGGACAAGGACAATGAATTGGCAGCAGCGGAATACATTGATGATATGTACATGTTTTTCAAAGAAACTGAAGTAATGCTCTATGCTTTACTCTTTAATAATTCCTAAGTTCCTTTTTTTCTACGCAATTGTTACTTATTTGATTTTGATGAAATAAACAGGAAGATGGTCGTGTGCATGATTACATGGCTTCACAGCCAGATATAAATTCCAAGATGAGATCAATCCTTGTGGATTGGTTGATAGAAGTGCATAGGAAATTTGAGCTCTCTCCGGAAACTCTCTATCTGACTCTGAACATTGTCGATCGATTCTTGTCCGTGAAGGCTGTGCCTAGAAGGGAACTTCAGTTGGTTGGTATCAGTTCAATGCTGATAGCCTCAAAATATGAAGAGATATGGGCACCGGAGGTGGAATTCTTTCTCTTTTATGATTTATGAACCATGTTTGAGAAAGTAAATGTGCCAACTCATGGGTGTGTTTTCAATATGCAGGTTAATGACTTTGTATGCATATCAGACAATGCTTATGTTAGCGAACAAGTGCTGATGATGGAGAAAATGATCCTGAGAAAGCTTGAATGGTATTTGACTGTCCCCACACCCTATGTCTTCTTGGTTCGGTATATCAAAGCCTCCATTCCATTTGAGAAAGAGGTAAAATTCTTTGTAGTTTGGTTGTTAAGTTTATTTTTTAAGTAGTAGGATGTCCTGATGAAAGTGTCTAATTTTCATCAATGTAGATGGAAAACATGGTGTTTTTCCTTGCCGAGCTCGCTTTGATGCACTATCCTACTGTAATCCTGTATTGCCCTTCTCTGATTGCCGCTTCTGCTGTATACGCCGCTCGATGTACTCTTGGAAAGAGTCCTTTCTGGACAAGGACTTTGAAGCATTACACAGGCTACTCTGAGGAGCAACTAAGGTAAAAAATTTCTTGGGTCAGCAAATTGATGTTTGAACATGCAACTAAAATACTAGATAGTGTTTGCTTTTCAGCATTCATGAAGTGACTTTTGTTTATTTATGCTGCCAGGGATTGTGCCAAAATCATGGTCAACCTTCATTCTGATGCACCAGAAAGTAAGCTTAGGGCAGTTTACAAGAAATTCTGTAGCTCAGATCGCAGTGCTGTTGCTCTTCTAACTCCAGCAAAGAACTTGTCAGCACCACTGTCTTGAACAGATTCAAGTCTAGGGGGGATTATTGCTGTATGACTTGGAAAATCTATGGATGGGTTTGTTTAGGGAGATCATTGCTGTTATGATCTATATATAATAATAGTATTTGTTTATTTTTTAGGAGTGTGATACAAAGTTTGCTTGCTTGTGGAGCCTCAAGCAATGTTTGGTGATTCTTTTTGTAAACCAGCGTTTGATTTGTATTGAACATCTCTAATGAATATTAAGCTTTGTGGATTAACTCTCATTTTCTTCTCTTCTTTTGTCCTTGCAATTTGCGTGGATGTTCTCATTAATATGCTCAAAAAGTACTTGATGAAATGTGTGGGAGTTGGAAGGTTAGGGTTTAGGGTTTAGGGTTTGTGGATTAACTCTCATTTTCTTCTCTTCTTTTGTCCTTGCAATTTGCGTGGATGTTCTCATTAATATGCTCAAAAAGTACTTGATGAAATGTGTGGGAGTTGGAAGGTTAGGACAGAATGACATGACATAAAAGTTATGAAATTACATGTTGATTTAAAAATAGCCATGTTGCGAGAAAAATCAAAGTTTTTTTTTACAAACTATTTTTAATGTACCATGGGATTGTTTGCTGATTATATAAGCTATAAATACCGTAAGTACTATTCTCATTTACTCCTAAGTGAGCTGCCTTCAACAGTTCAACCTATGGATGGATCACGTGTAGGATTGAATCTAGATCATTCAGTAAAAACTTGAAAAGAAGTCTATCAAACAGACTTTAAAGCTAGGGTATCTAACTAATGAGCTTTCAGCATGTCTCTCAACATATGCCGTATATTTGCATTTACTTTTTAGCTTTACCCTATATATATATAATCTGCCGTATGCAAATATACTTGGAATAAGAGATCAGAACAGAGATCTTTACAACGATCAACATGGCTATTTTTACAAACTATACACTTGTTTTATAGCAGTTCCAAAACAGGATTTTAAACCAACCTATGCAAGTTTCGTGTACGCCAAACAAGCCCAAAAATAAAAACATTTAAAAGTAGTCAAATGCAACTGCTAGTATGAAATTTACAATTTTGCTTCATTCAGATAAGTAAAGGTTATGTGGCACACAATATTTGGAAAGTTTTCAATCAGTATCACAAGGATCTCATTTAAGTGAACAGTATACAATAAAAACAATTCATCTCGTTAGAAATACTCAAAAATGAATTTAATTTCAGAATATGCATGGCTCCAAACCAACAATAGAGTTGAGGTGCACATTCTGTACACGAGGACTTCAGACATTAACCAGCCCTTTGGAAACCATTTTATTTCAATGTTAGAACCCGGTGGACTTTACACAACAAATCGAATAAACTACCAATATTTATAGAATTTTGCAGTAAAAAAATTACATGTGAGCTAGACAAGATTTAAGCATTAGTGGAAGCTGGGACTTCAAAAAATCAATCCTTTTGGCATTTAGGTAGCGGAAACGATACTCTTTGATCAGTTTGAGAGGGATCCAGCTGCATGTCTATCTTCTCTTCTTGAGAGGTGTTGGGAATAGTAGCCTCTTCATCCTCTGTTTCTTCCATAGGTTCAGAAGGCATTTTGTTTGGAATTGCAAACATATAGTTGGGACTGATTAATGTATCCTGGTCAGGTGGAAGCGGGATACCAAGTCCTGCTATACTCTTTGGCAATGGTATTTTGTTGCGGTTATGAGCCAACTCCAGAAGCACCTGGCATGTGATTACATTGAACATATTATCTTTCAGGTAGACATATTATTGCTTGAAGGAGAAGAGAAGAAGAAGGTATAGGGGTCACCAAAGAGATAGGGATACTTTCAAGCAAGCAACTATTTCAGGATACCATAACTAACACACTGAATCTCAGTAAATTGGTTTCTAGTTTCTAGAAGGTTTTGAATTTGAGTGATAATCAATCATGTCCCACCAAATGACAATCTCCGCCATAATTCCCAAACAACTGACAATTAAAACTTCAACACGATTAATTACTGCAAGCTAGTAATTAAACTGCAATACAGTAAGGAGGAGCCTACAATGCTAGAGCTCATAGATAAGAAAAGTAGACACAAATAATTTACATGCAATTTCTTACATAATCCAGTGCGATAATTTTGAAAAAACAAATTACCAGTTTATAAACTATGAAACACAAGATTATGATTCACGGTAAGGGAATTAGGAAGTTGAGTTAACTTGCTTGAAAACTTGATCTTGCAGGAACTTGGGCAGATTTGAGTAGAATAATAGTTTCATACAAACTTAGTCCGAGTCACAGTCTAGAACAAACCCAATAATCTGCCCCAATTCTTCAAAACTCGTGCAAAAGTTGTTTTAGATGTTACAGCTTTCATCCTAATTTTGCATTGTGAATGAGCTACTCCAGCCTCCTTGAAACATGTCAGTATGAACCCGGTTCAAATGAACTTCATCCAGGAACTAAATTCCCAGCTTGAACACACAGTCACAGGCTCCATTTCACGGCAACATTCCACAACCCACACTAAGGCTCCTTCTCCATCTTTGTTTTATTTTTCCCCCACTGATTGTGCAACATCTTTTACTTTTGAATATAATGTTTTCACAATTCTGGTAATTTGGAACAAACCCACACCCACTTGGCACATGGTGCTTTATTTCATCATTCACTAATTTGTTCCAACATATTATCTTTGGCCATCAATTTTGAATTTGCAGCATTCCATTTGCATTATTTAGAGTGAACTCCTATGAGTTTACAAGTAAAGTCTACAAACGCTCAACGAGTATGACAGCCTCTTTTGGCACCTTTTATTGTATTTGATACCATATGTTGAGATTTAATATAAAAAAGTAACAGAACTGAACAATTTTCTTCTGATGGGTTACTCAAGTTATTTACAATACATGTTTGATTTCTAACTACGAACAAGTCAGAGAATAGAAGGACTGGAGAGAAGGAATGCCTGCATTTTCTATCAGAAAAATCAAAACCCACGTAAGTTCAACAATAAAGAATATATATGTAATCAATTTTCCTTGCACAAGAAACAAATTCTAACCATTGGGTAAAAAGATTTAAAAATGAATTACATATTTCTTTTATCGGTAAGATTTACAATGAAAACAACAATGTTCGAACTTACTTTGTGTATATTATTTCAATCTCTCTTTGCTAAGCCAATCCTAATGGTTCAAATGGAAAATTACTAATATTACCTCACGAGGGGGTGGTTGCGAGAAACTGAAGTTAAGCTTCGATTGAATAGCAAGCTTAACATCATCACAGTCAATCTCAGTCCTGCCTGCATGCTCTGAATACACTTGGGCATCCGTCAATACATCAACAACATAACGATACCATAACTCTAGAAACTTGTGTACAACATGAGGTTCATAGTCCTCCACTCCCATTGATTTCATCAAACACTTGACAATCTTTGCATCCCTTGGCATTGTCAAGTCCTCATCTTTTTCTGCCATACCTGTCCACTGCACCCAAAAACAGCAATTATTGATGATTTGAAACAAATGGGAATTTGTATTTTATGTTGAGAAATCTCAATGGTGCCAAAAGTTTTAATCTTTAATACCATAGAAAGTAATGGTGGTGAATGGTAAATTGAAGAAAGTAAGTAACGCAGAAAAATGCAAATTTATAAGAATATAAAAATAGGTCAGACATATTGCATTCCTAATTAGGAAAAAAAAAATAGATTGCATTGTTAAAAATAAAAAACGAAATATGAAGTATGAACATTCATAAAATTCTCAACATTTTCAAAGCAGAGAAGGGAAAGGGATGACGAACTTACCAGAGGATGGATCGGAAAGGCTTCTCTGCTCAAAAGTTTTCACTCAGCTTCGTTCCATATTTAATTCTAAACTCTGAATATATAGGGTCGACGACAATAATAACTAACAAATTAATACAAATAAATAAAATAAAATATATATTTTTTATTATTACCATTTTTTTTAAATAGAACTTCGTATTTAGAAAACAATAAAATAAATTATTAATCAAAATTAATAATAATATTTTTACTATTTCTATTATTATTATCATTATTATCAATATTATATAATAATAATAACATTAATAATAATAATAATGACAATACTAATAATTATGATTATAATGATGATATTAACACTAAATAATAATAAAAATTATAATCATAAATATATATAGAGAAGAAAAGTTCGTTTATTTTATGAGTAAGTCTATTTAGATTTACTTTGTTTAATAATTCATGTTCTACATCAAATTTCAATGATTCAACCGTTGAATTTAAAGTTCTTAATATATAAATTAAATTTATAAATTTTTATAAATTTTAAAAATAATTTAATATTTCATTTCATTAATTCAAATTGACAAATAATCATTATTTTATACACTGATTTAAATTTATAAAACGAAATATTAAATAATTTTTAAATTTTTTAAAAATTTGCTATGCATTAAAAACTTTAAATTCAATGATTGAATTGTTAAAATTTCATAAGTTATTAAACGAAGTAAGTTTAGATAGACTTACTATTGGAATAAACGAATTTCTCCTTATATTTATATATATTATGTAAATTATATTTTTAATCTATCATCTTTTAATGAAAATTTCTTTCTAATTCCTCAAGATTTTTTTTTTGTCAATCTAAATCTTATATTTTTTATATAATGAAATTCACTTTTAATTTTTTGTCCTGGTATATCATTTTTGCCATCGTTGCGTCAAAATGTTTTAATATATCAACATTATATCATGTGAAGGTTACGTCAAAATAATAAAAGAAACATGAAAATAGAAAAAAGTCACATGATTATTAATGCTGCTACCACATCATCGTTTAACAATAATACTTTATTGAAAGAACTAAAATTAATTGACAAACAATAATTAAAGAACTTAAATTGATTTAAAAAATTAATGAAAGATTAAAAATAAATTCTATAAAAATATGAGAAACTAAGACTAACATCAATCAAAATAAATATTAACATAGTAAAAGTAAATTTCGTTAAAAGATAAAAAATAAAAAATTACACATAATTCTCACATTGTCGACGATACTTGATGAAAAAAAAAATAATAAGGGAGAAAAAGTTTAACTACCGAGACAAGTCAAATTTTTGTTTAAAAATTAAAAAAGTGAAATTTGAAATATATTTAACTGTACATTACTATATTATATCTTTCATTTATGTATCAAATAAACATATTAGCCTAATGGTTAAATGTTGTTATGAACCTTTATTTATTTTTTTAATAACAATTTCTTCTATTTTTATATGTCACAATGTCATGCCTCGATATTAACGCAACGACAATTATCTTAGCAGACATATCAAAATTATATCATCATGTCAATGACATTTATTAGCATTATATCATCAATCAAATCATCAGAGTCAAAATAGTAAAAAAATCATTAAAATCTAAATAAAAAAATTGATGAAAGACGATAATTCCGAAGTTACAATATTTAAGAGACCCGATTGAGTAAAAGAAAGTTGAGAGATCAAATTCCTATAATGACAATTATAATAGGGAACATTTTCTTTAAATACTAGTTATTTATTAATTACACTCATGTGATCTATTTCTCTCAAATACTCTCAAACTCAATCTATTGCATTAAATAACTTGAATTTTTGGTTAACCTAGTCATTCCTAGGTCACAAATCATTCAATGTATTTTTGTCAGCGGTAGTAAGTAATAAGTTGTGATTGATTTTGGGTTAGGTTTATTAGAAATAATAAATAATAATTCATATGCACTTATTATGAAAAGATAATTCTGTACCATGGAGCAAAGATTTCAATTATCAAGTAACAAGTGATTATTTATTTATGCAATAAATTTCCAATATATTTTTGCATGTTATTTTGTGTTAAGATATGTTTTACTTAATTTAAGAGATTCTTATTTTTATTTTATTTAAAATAAGAAACTATATATATATATATATACATACTATAGGAAACTTATTATGCTTATTTGTAAGCTTTTTTGGTTGTAAGCTTTTTTGGTTGTAAGCTCAATAACTTAATCTTGTCTTATAAAGATTCATTGAAAACATAAAGAGAAAAAAATACTCTTCAAAGTCACTATAGGTAAAAACATTTTTGTTCTTATTAAAGAAAATTATTCTAATTTATACGAATATGATTTTTAAAAATATTGTCAAAAAGTATTCATTTTCTATTAACTCACTTCTCGTGTCGTGTTTTCTTAATTTTAAAATTTTAAAACCTGTTCAACTGTTTTACCTGTGCTTTTGCATGGCTTCGGTTCTAAAATAAAACAAAATTCTGACTTCAATAATTTTGACAGTTGCCCTAAAAGCTAAAATATTATTTAGTAGATAATATTCTTTCCATCAAAAGGGTTTAGTACGCAAAGCTTTTCAAATAATCTAAAGTAAAAAATATTATTATTTTTATTATGTTTAAAAATATTAACTTTGAAAAAACATTTTAAAATAAGAAAACATCATCTTTATTTACTTATTTGATAAAATAAAATATTTAAAATTTTAAATAATATATAACTATTTCAGAAAATATTTGTCACTATCACATATATTTTAATCATTTTCAAGAATTATAATTTATGTTTCTAAGGTATGAATTCTTTGTCTCTATCGAAAATTCCCTTATACAAAATACATATAAAAGATTACATAATTAATTAATAAATTTGTTATATGGTAAAAATCTACAAATATATCTTATCCAATTATTTATTATTGATACCACTGTTAATAATTTTTTTTTACTCTATCATGACATTAATTATTTACTTAATAAAAAAATATAATTTTGAGAAATTTTGATTGATTGACTCCACTCACTCACACCAAGAACAAATCCCAGTCAAATAACTAACACGGAAAGCCATATCCAATTCATTGAACGTGAATAATATAATTGCAGATGAAATATTAAAGAGAGGGTTGCCAGTTGCCACCACCCTTTAGTTTTTTAAAGCAAAAAGAAAATGGAAGTGTGAGTGAAGTAAAGGTTGAACAGATAGGAATGGGACCCTGGAATTGAAGAAATTTAAGTTTAAAGCAGAAGCATGATGACAATGGTAGTAACAACAGGGTGTAAGTTGTAACAGTAACATGTTCAAGACAAGGATCATGTAGCTTTTAGTTCCATTCAAAGCTGTTGTGGCAAACGTTCACACAAAGACAAACACATCACAAAACGTTGGCACTAGAATCCCGTTAAGGGGGGGCCACCCTACACACGGGCGGCACAACACAACCTATTCTTTTTCTCCTCCTTTTTTCAAAAAGCAATTTTTAATCTTTCTCTCTATCCATATGCTATGTTCTTATTCTCTTTCTCTCTCTCTCTCTCTAGAACCATTGATCGGAATACTGCTGCTGCTTGTGTGTAACCAAATTGGAGCAATCCCCTTTGAATCTGATCCTACAATCACAAGGCTAGCTACCCATTTTCTACTTCTCATGATCTGTAAGTTAAAGCTTTCTTTTTGTCCTTTTCTTGTTAGCCCTTTTCCTCACTGCTTTAACTTAACTCAAAAAATAAATAAAAAAACTAACTAAGAAAGGGGTGAAGATAAGGAAAGTTGGGGTTTGGTTTCCTTGTGAAATACTCTCCAAATATGGTTTGACTTCAGTAGGCCTAATGGGGTGTGGACTTGTGGTATCTATATTTGTTACTTTCTCATTTTTTCTATGTTATGTTTAGTACTTTTTGTTTTTGTTCTCTTCATGTATATATCTGAGTGAAAGTTTCCTTTTTTTATTTTTTTTAATTATTGTATATAATTTGTTCAATTGCCTTTGGTAAAGGGTGTGTTTTTGTGGTTGGCAGAGGTATTTGGTTGTAAAAGATGACAAGGGTGACTCGTGATTTTGGTGATACAATGCAAAAAGAGGCTGTGCCTGCGGTGTCTTCTGATGTTGTGTTTGCTTCAAGTCGCTTTCCTAATTACAGAATTGGAGCTAACAATCAGATAATGGAGGCAAAGGATGATCCAAAGGTGCTATCTATGAAAGAGGTTGTTGCACGTGAGACTGCACAGCTGTTGGAACAACATAAACGACTCTCGGTTCGTGACCTTGCCAGTAAATTCGAGAAGGGTTTGGCAGCCGCGGCTAAGTTATCTGATGAGGTTACCTTTTCTTCTGCTTAAAACTCAATTGTTTTTTTTCTTCTTTTCATTGGGTTGTAGTTCTTCCTTTTTGAGGGTTTTGCAGCCTGAGATTGTTATTGTTCAATGTTTACAGTTGAAATAACTAATGATCATAGTTGTAGTTTGCAAAGAAAACCGATGTCCCTTTTTTTAACTATGCTTTTCGTGGAATCAGGCTAGACTTAGAGAGGCAGCATCATTGGAAAAACATGTTCTTTTGAAGAAGCTTAGAGATGCACTTGAATCCTTAAAAGGCCGCGTGGCAGGTAGAAACAAGGATGATGTGGAAGAAGCTATTGCTATGGTTAGTTATTTTATTTTTTGCTATCTAATAAGCAGATGCTCATAATTATTCCCTTTTGTGCTTAAAGAAATTTATATAATCCTGAAAGTATATTTATCAAGTCTTGTTTGTTCTCTATAAAAGTCAATCTGGGAGTGTTTATGTGAATGGAAAGGCTTTGAGAATAAACTTGGGATACTCTAAAATTTTCATAGGCTTGTGGAAGAGAAAATTCTCATCTATATAATATTTCCATACCTCCAATCCCAGAAATATAATTTCAGCCTTTTTTTTAATAGAATGTTCGTCCTGGTGCCAATTTGTTTGTGCATTTGAAATCTTTTATGAGATGCAACTGTAACTTATTCTGCACATTCTTCAGGTTGAGGCACTAGCAGTTCAGTTGACTCAGAGGGAAGGGGAACTGATACAAGAGAAGGCAGAGGTGAAGAAGCTTGCAAATTTTCTTAAGCAGGTGATGTTAACTTATCTTACGCGGTGATGCAAATTTTCTTTTACATGCCTGCATAAATAAATTTCCTTTTCCAATGCTGAGAGTTTAGATTAATTTCTAGGCTTCCGAAGATGCTAAGAAACTTGTTGATGAGGAAAGAGCTTTTGCTCGTGCTGAAATAGAGGATGCCAGAGCAGCAGTTCAAAGAGTGGAAGAGGCACTTCAAGAACATGAGAGAATGTCTCAAGCTTCAGGGAAGCAGGTTAGTACTATTTACTCGTCATTTGCCATGTTCTATTATAGGGGAATTTGGCAATTCATGATGTCATAATGATAAATACAGCAGACTTAAGTATCAATTGTTTTCTGATTCTTATGTTTTCATGCAAAACATATCCTGAAGGTCTATTAAGTTTACGGTGATTCGAAGTCAGTTTGGTTAAACTTCTTAACAACACTTATAGGAGAAGAAAATAAAATTAAAGAAATAAAATTAATAAAACTTATCACTTAAATTAAAATAGGAGCCCTGACATCTAACTTCTTCACAAGTTGAGACAGATAAATTGATTTTAACTTATGTGAGAAGTTTGATTCATTTTACCTCATTTTCTTTTCTTTTCTTCTAATTGCTTATTATTTTTTTATTCTTATATTTGCAAGTAGTTATTTATTTTGATAAGGACAAAGGGAAAGTGGAAGATGGGTATTTTGCTCAAGATATTCTTTTTTAATTTTTTTATGCTTCAATGTGTCTTGCATTTATTCTTTTCTCTCCCTTCTAGTTTTTATTTCCGTTGAAAGCCTGAACTGAACATCTTTTTGGCTATTGTTATAATGTTATTGTGTGAGACCCTTCAGGGAACAAATACTGTGAATCTGTGTTAACTTAGTAATATTGATTTGACAACATTTGGTTATGGTTTAGGACATGGAACAATTAATGAAGGAGGTTCAAGAGGCTCGAAGAATCAAAATGCTTCATCAGCCAAGCAAGGTATATATATATTGAACACATATCCCTATTCTGTTTGTCATCTTATTTCTATTTCAAGAGCCTTCTCTTTATTCATTCTCCTGTTTTGAATTGGCTTTCTTCCCTTTATCTTCTAAGACTTCATTTTTCCATATTATTAACATTTTTATCAAGTTATTGCAAAGAGATGAATGCATTGATTGTTGATTTATTTGTAGGTCATGGATATGGAACATGAGCTTCGAGCATTGAGGGCTCAACTAGCAGAGAAGACTAGACAGTATCTCCGACTTCAAAAGGAGGTATGTCTGTCATCTTATGCCACGTTGAAAAGATTGTTATATGAACACCATCCATGGTTAACTATGATATACTAATGCGTTATGTGGAAGACTTTAGGCAGTTGTTGGTTTTTAAGCAGCATGTTATGATGAATCATGATCCATAACTTCAATTTGGTTTTTATAGTTTGCTTTTTGGTTGAGTGGTTGAGAATCTGTGTTCATAACATGGTTTGGCATAATGCACGGCTTACAGGGATAGCACACCTCAATTGTTGTGTGTGCCTCAACTACTGGGGGACATTTTATGTCACCTCTGTTTCATGTCATGCAGTAAATACCTACATACTGTTAAATTCTCTGGCAATACTGAAAATCTAATATTCCTTATTTCTTTGCTGAGGGAGTATAATCTTTGGATAGACTTTGATGGAAAATTCCATGATGAATTTTAATTATATGAATAAGAATTAGAGTGTGGGACTTGATGCTAAACTATATTTTTGTCTCAAGTGAATACTGAATTGTAAGTTTCTTTAAATGGAGAAATCATATGATTGTCTTTGATTGACCATTGGAAGCTCTTTTATTGATTATCCTTCATGCTTCTTTTCAGCTTTCGAGGACGAAGAAAGGTGGGGAAAATGATCCACATTTGTATGAACTTGAAGGGATTGAAACATTGGGTTCTTATTTGCAAATTCAGCCTTGCTCTGATAATGCCCCTGAAGTTTCAAATTGTTCAATTCAGTGGTATCGCGTATCATCTGATGGTGCCAAAAAAGAACTTATCTCAGGTATTGTCTCTGTGTGGTTTCCTTTTATTTTTTTTGGTTAGGCATGCAAATCAGTTGACTCTTGATTTATTCATTTTTCTACTTCTGGTAGAGCATGTTTGATTATTGGTCACTTCCCAGAATGTGAATAACAGTTTTGGTGATGGCATTTCTATCCTCAGTTTTATAGAAAATTAGAAATGACATACTGGCAGCACCCAAACTCTCACCAATTGTTAAACTGATTGTTAACTCATAAAAATGTTCAAGAAGACTGCTTGTTTTGTGCATACACATATACTAATATTTCAATTCACTAGAGTTGACCTAATGGTAGGAGTTGGTGGTAATATGCGTAGAGTCATAAATTTGAACCATGTCGTCATCATTATAATTCCTATAGATAAAAAAAATATACTAATCTTAATTAATTGTTTTTATCTTTGCTTATCATATAATACAACTTTCTCAGGAGCAACCAAATCAGTGTATGCCCCTGAACCTTTTGATGTTGGACGCATATTACAAGTTGATATTATTTCAGAAAGCCAGCATGTCACACTTTCAACCTCTGGTCCAATAGATCCAGGTCTGGTTTCAATTTGACTTATTCTCATTTGCATTAGTAATCGTTAACGTTTAACAGGCATTGCTTCTATTATTTTTGTTTCTATTTCAATCAGAGTTGGTCTCTTATCAGTTTTAAGAGTTTGAGACAGGTTTTGTTGTGCAATCACATTGAGCTTAAATTTCTTTTGTACCTCTTATGCAGCTGCTGGTTTGGGAACCTATGTAGAGGCACTTGTGCGCAAGCATGACTCTGAATTCAATGTATGTTGCTCTAATCCTTTTATTTTTTATTTTTTTTCTCTCTGCTACAATTATATAAAATATATGTGAGCATGAATACGACATATCCGGGAGTAATTATTTTGTATCATTGATTTACTGAAATTTTTATGTTTACTGGTGCTTTTGTTTACCTGTCAAACCCCATAAGAAGAAAAGAAATATTTCTATGCATGATGCTTGTAACTTGGAGCATTGTTAAGTGGAGCTGTGTTTTGACCCAAGTATGCATGGTTCCATGGCTGTTGCTTCAGTCTTGTAGTCAATTTTTTTTATAATAGTGTTTAGCATAGTTTTAAAAATCAGATCGATAATCAAACTGATTAGGGTGTTGGGTTAGTGGGTCAGAGATTGCACCAATGGATCATTAATTGAATCGCATGATCTAGTTTCTATTAATTTTTTTTAAAAAAATATTCATGTTGTATATATTTTATACTTATAAATTTCAATAAATTCATATTGTATCTTAAATTTCAATTTCCATATTTTATTTAAAATTATCTTTATTTTTATTTTGTATAAAGAAATACATAAAAAAAAAACTGCATATTAAACTGTATAAATTAATACAAATTAAAAATATAAATAATATATATATATATAAATATAATATACTTGTAATTGATATCACAAAATAATATATGTAATATCTGCATATATATTATATTATTAAATATATAATTTAAAATTAATAATATACTATAAAACTTATTTAAGTTGCACATATTACAAACAAATGTGTTGGAATAGGTGGTGTCTAATAAGGTTCTTCATGCTCCCACGAGCAGGGTTTGAATCTCATATATTGTGTTTTTCTTTGAATTTCATTTTAAAAGTGGTAAACAACATCTCCATGGTTGAACTGATCCAAAAATTGATTGGTTTGCTTCGGTTTTTAATGAGTCGAATACATGAACGATTCAATTCAAAGTTCAGACTGATTGCATTGTCGGTTCCCGATTCAATTGGTTTGACCGGTCGATTTTTAAAACACTGGTGTTTAGTTTTGACAGTGCTGCGTATTGTACTTCGTTCTTCACATCTTAATGTGAAAATTTTAGAAGTCAAATCTAGTCAGATTCTGTGACAATAATACTGTAGTTGTATTTAATACTTTGCAGGTAGTTGTGACTCAGATGAATGGTTCACATCATCCAACTGAATCTATTCATGTGCTTCATGTTGGGAAGATGAGGATGAAGCTTTGTAAAGGAAGAACAACAATTGCCAAAGAATATTATTCAAGTTCAATGCAGGTATCTCAAATTGTTAATGCTATATATCTATTCTCCAGCCTTTTGTAGTTTTACTAAATAAGGAAAGGAGCCATATTTTGATTGTAACAAGCCAAGCATTATTCTAACCTCTTTCTTGCACTTAATTCTCTATATATGACTTTATGTGAATAAATTTCTTCAAAATCACTTTTAAGAAAGAAAAATATGAAAAAGAAATGAAATAATTTTTTTTATAGACTAAAATTAGCTTATACGTAAACTAATTTGTAGAAGCTCTTTCATATTAATTTCTCTAAAATCTTATTTTTAACTCGTATATAATCTGGTTTTAGTTTATGGAAATACTTATTTCTATTTTCCTTTACTTTTCTCTTTAGAAGTGCTTCTAGACTTATTCAAATAGGTCGAATGAAGCTGTCTTTCTGTATATGAAAACGCATTTGTTTTTGTGCTCTTTGTATCAGTCTTTTTTTGCTTTCCTTCTCTTTGGAATCTGGTCAACCATTGTGCTTTGATCTTGTTTTCTTTAGCTTTGTGGAGTTCGAGGCGGCGGAAATGCGGCGGCGCAGGCACTATTTTGGCAGCCAAAGCAAGGGCATTCTTTTGTATTAGCCTTTGAATCAGAGAGAGAAAGGAATGCTACCATCATGCTTGCAAGGAGATTTGCATTTGACTGTAATGTATGTCTTTCTCAAACTTAACATATTTGTTAGAACTTGAATGAAAATTCACATTTTCTCTCTTTTTTGGTCACCATTGCTAAATTGCCAATGCAAATTATGCAGATCATGCTTGCTGGACCAGATGACAGGGCTCCTCTAGGGACATGATAATGACCCTCCTTACATCTTATTTTCCCCTTTGTAATTATGAGTTTTTCTAGCTTGTATTATAAGTGTCATTTTAGCATTAAAATCTGCCTTATTAGACTGATTCATACCTTGTGGTCTGAATCATTTATATAATTTTGTTTAATCAGTCCAAGGCATTTTTTTTATTTGCCTTTTAGAGACTAAGTTTTAGGTTATAATTATAGAATCCTTGGCTGCATGCCATGTCAAGTGTTTGAGATGCTAATTGGTTGTATTTGATGGACAGACAATTACTGAGAATTCTGATTGCATTTGTCTATGGACACTGCCCTCGTGAACAGGACAATATGCGATTCTTCTCTAAACTCTAATTATGAATATAAAAAAATCCAATGTTCATATTGCCTCACAAGAATCCCATGTAGAGTTCTAGATACTATAATATATGGTATATATATATATATAAATGTTTGTCAACTGCCTCGGCTGTCTTTTGTTTTTTATTTATTTATCTAATTTAATTTTTTTTTATTTATAAATTAATTTTTAATACTTTAGATAAATTATCAATAATTAAAATAATCTTGAATTACTATATAAATTATTTATCACAAATTCTAAGCAACAAATTTATTCAACTGATTTATTAATAGCTCTTTTATTAGGATAACTCATTTGCATGAATATTGTTATTGTACGTCAATTCAATGTCTCACAAATTTTACTTGCATTAGCTAATTATTATTCAATCCATGAAAATAGAATAGGTTTGAGTTAAGGTATGAGTAATTATTTATCACGAAATTTTGTAGGTATAAGTAGAGGTATAGATGGTATAGTGCTCAATTTTGTCACATATTTGCACTTATAAATATGTTTTTTCATTAGTTTTTTTAAAATTCTGATCACTAATTTTTTCAAAAACCTTTTTGTATCACTACTTTAGTCTTAAAAAAATTATTTCCAAGTTAGTTCTTCAACAATACAATTTGATTATTCAAAGTATATGTATCACTTTAATAGTTTTTAAAATTTTGTTACTATTATTTTTTTAATTCTCTTCTTTTTCCCATTATTTGAATCTATCTTAAGAATTATTATACTAATATTTTCAATCTTTAAAGAATTAATTTATTCATAAATAAAATCGTTAAAAGATTAATTTAATGATAAAATCTTTTAAGAACCTAATATAATAATGGTTTATATCTTTTAAAAAATATTTTAATGACTAAATTTCCGTGAGGATTTTATTTGAATGTGCTGATAATATTTTTTTTATACTATCATTTAATAACAAATTTCCATGTATGTTAAATAATTAAAATAATTTACTTTTATAATAGAAGTTAATCACCTATACATTGTCAGTGTATAAATTTTTTATACTGACAACCAATCATATCTTTTAATAGTGACATGTCAATTGCTTATTTAATGAAATAATAATAAAATAAACAACTTTAAAAAATATGATTGATTGCCAGTGTAAAAAACTTTATACTGATAGTATATGAATGATTAACTTTTATAATAATTACTTGTGAAATCATACTCAAAATAATTTTAAATTGAATAATAGAGCAAAAAACTTTACAATGGTGTTACATAGAAATTAACTCAATTTCTAAAAGACTAATATAATGACTCATAATTTTAAATTATTAAGTTAAAGATTTTTTCTTGTAGTTAACGACAATGAACGGTACCATTTTATCTCCATCTCTCTTTTCAAACTTTCATTTTTATGTTATTTTTACTGACATAATAGAAATAATATTAAATAGAGAGGATTATTTAATTTAAATTTGAATAAAAAAAGAGAGTTGACGTATCTTTTCTGACTCATAATAGAAATAATATTGAATAGAGAGGATTATTTAATTAAAATTTGAATAAAAAAGAGAGTTGACGTATCTTTTCTGACTCATGAATTATTAATTGTTATCTTTTTAATTTGCTTGAATACTGTCCTAAAAAAATTAAAATTTTCTTGAATACTAATTGTTTTTATTAATTACTAAAGTGGCTATATATTCAAAAGTTTACCAATTTTTTTATATTAGATATATGATTTAAATATATTTTTAGTTCATATAAAATAAATATATTTTAATTTTAATTTCAGTAAAATAATTTCTTTATTTTTTATCTTTTAAAACTTGTAAATGTTGATTTTGATCCTTATAATATATTTATTATTCTTGTAAAATAAATAAATTTTAATTTTAGTTCTTGTAAATTTTTTTTATTTTTATTCCTTTAAAATTTTAAATTATTATTTTTTTAATTCTTATAATAATTTTAAGATAGATAAATAATATTTATTTTAAGAATTTATACAAAATTTTAGAATTCACAAATTAATAGTTGTAAATAATATTTAAGATGATCACAATAATAAAGATTAAAAATAATAATTTTAAATTTTAAATATAAAAATTAAATTTTTTTAACGGAAATCAAAATCAAAATCTTTTCACTAACTAAAAATATAAATTTAAATATATTTAATATTTGATGATAATTTTGTACAAATATTTAAACTAATAACTCAATAATTAATTAATAAATAATAAATTAAAGATAGTATACCTTTTGAATAAAATTTAGAGTTTTTGTGAAGTTGGTGATTGTAACGTTAATAAAGTTGAAATTTTTAGAAAGTGATGGTCGGTGTCCTTTCCCTCCTTAAACAATGTAATCACATTCACATGTACATTCCGTGTGGACCATGCTTTACAGAGTGGAATGGTCGGTTTTGTGGTCTATCCAATCAACGGCTTCTATTCTTTATGTCTTCGTGCCAAATATCTGACCCTTCAATCATCTCATGTTGTTTTTTATTTTTACATTTTTGTATTTTTATGTTGCTCCACCTACATAATCTTGATCTTTCAGCTATTTTATTTTGTAGTGTTAATCCCATTCAGAGTTATACTCTCTCTGTTACTTGGATCACTGATCTCATCTCAGGTACTTCCTTCCCACTTATCTTCCCCTTTTTTGATCCCCTTTAGGCTAATTTGACTATGCTTCATTTTGATTTCTTGTGGGTTGGTATCTTATGTTCTACTCCATTGATCAAACATTGACCTTATGATTCTTTGTATCTTGCATCTTGATTACTGGGAACCTCATTGACATAAAGAAATTACATAAAAAAGATACAATCAGAATATCTTTTTTACTAGCATCATATGGAATGATAAGTTTTGCTGCATTTTTTGGAGCATGGAGATCTAAGATTGTAGTTTGAGCAATATGTCTGCATGTAATCAGAATGTTGTGTTTTCTTTTGTAAATAATTGATCAGAGAGTCAAATTGTTACTTTTGTTGACTTTGATTTGTTGTGTGATTGGATTGGAACTGGATCTTGCTCAAGCTAATTTCTTTGCACATTTACCATCTTTAATTTAGATATGTCGACATCTGATGATAAACCAGAAGTGGTGGAAAGGGGTAGCAAGGATGAAAAGCACAAGGAGGATGATAAAGAGGATGGGAAGGGTGGATTCATTGAGAAGGTGAAGGATTTCATTCATGACATTGGTGAGAAGATTGAGGAAGCTATAGGGTTTGGAAAGCCGACTGCTGATGTTACTGGGATACACATTCCATCAATTAATATTCACAAGGCAGATCTTGTGGTTGATGTGCTCATCAAGAACCCTAATCCGGTGCCGATCCCTCTGATCGACATAAATTACTTGGTTGAGAGTGATGGAAGGAAACTGGTTTCAGGTTTGATACCGGATGCAGGTACTATCCATGCACATGGAGAGCAGGCTGTCAAAATTCCTGTGACTTTGATTTATGATGACATCAAGCAAACATATGATGATATTAAACCTGGGAGCATCATTCCTTATAGGGTGAAGGTTGATCTCATTTTTGATGTTCCCCTATTGGGAAGGTTTACTCTACCTTTGGAGAAAACTGGAGAAATCCCTATCCCCTACAAGCCTGATATTGATCTTGAGAAGATTCATTTTGAGAGGTTCTCTTTTGAAGAGACAATTGCAACTCTTCACTTGAAGTTGGAGAACAAGAATGATTTCGACCTCGGCCTCAACGCGCTTGATTACGAGGTCTGGCTTGGTGATGTTAGCATTGGGGGTGCAGAACTCACCAAATCTGCTAAGATTGAGAAAAGTGGAATTAGTTATATTGACATTCCAATTACCTTCAGGCCTAAGGACTTTGGATCCGCACTCTGGGACATGATTAGAGGAAGGGGAACTGGTTACACCATGAAAGGACAAATTGATGTTGACACTCCCTTTGGAGCAATGAAATTGCCTATCAGCAAAGAAGGTGGTACTACCCAGCTTAAGAAAAAGAAGGAAGATCGCGATTACGATGACGATGATGATGACGAGGTTTGTAAACTTCTTTTAACTATGTTTCTTGTTTCCTTTCTTTGTTTTCCACTTTCTCTAGAAATTGATAAGGTATTGGCGTGCAATTATGCATATGAGCATATAAATGATGGTGGAACTTTAGATACCAAAACAATCATTCCCTATTAGACATATAGAGACATTGTCTTGCACATTTTCAATATAATAGAAATGCTTCAGAATCAATTTTTTTTAAAATTTATCTGTTTAGTTGGAAAGCTGAGAGTAGATTTAGTGAAAAATGTTTTGTATTAAATTTTCTGTATATATATAAGAAATTATTGTCTAAAATCTTGCTGCTTCCCTAAACTAACTATTGATAATATCACTAAGCAGGTTAATGTCTTTCCTCTTTATCCTCTGTATAAGTTGTATTTACATGTGTCATAACATTTGTGTATAATCTTTTTCTTTGCAGGAATGAATATTGAAGAGGAATTGTAGCGGGTTATTGCTAGCTCTTAATAAAAGTGGACATGAACTTTAAGGCATTAGTTTTTGAGTTCTTGAGAGATCAAGTTGACATTCAAATTATGTGCCGGTACCAGAATTTTAGTGAATGCTGCAGTCTGGCTTGTAATCTTTCTCTTGAAACCGCGTTCTTGTTGTACTTAATTCATGATCATGACAATCTAGTGCTGTCTTAATGTGAGATCGAAGCTCATTTGCCTTGGAACTTTGTGTGTGGGAGGTTTTATTTATGGAAGATATCTATTTAAGAGGTGGCGTTTTCTTTGTCATTCTGAAATTGAGAATTGATTACGAGTTTGTTTGAATACAACTTAAAAGTGTTTTTGAGAGCTTCTATATTATGAATAAAAACTACTTATTTCTTTCCCTTCTAAACTCATATTTAAACAAGCTTTATCTTTTTTTTTTTTTTTTTTTAAGGTAATGTGTGGTTTTTATTAGCCTATTGCCCCATAAATAGTTCATGAAAATTGTGCTTGTACCAAACAACATGAAAACACTCCAAAGTTGTGTCTTTCGGTCCAAGTATTAAGACAAAAAACGCATCTCCAAGTAATTGCTATATATTGTTATATATTATCATTTAATTACAAATTATTATGTATGACAAATTTGTTAGCCTTTGCAATAATTATCTTACAAATTTTATTAAGAATAATTTATCATTAATTGATAGTGTGAATTAACTTTTTAAAATTAACAATGCATAAAAATCAAATTTTATAATATTACCATTAAATTGTTGGTTTGAGTAGAATTGAACTTGATCTCTTTAAGAGATATCTCATATTTGAGTATTGAAGTTCTCTTGTGTTGTGTTTTCCTGTTAGTACGAGGAGATTCGTTCTAAGAACATAGTTATAAAAAAATTCTATATCATTATTACATGTCATCTTAATTAGTTTTTAATTAAATATGAAATTTCTCATTTAATCTTTTTTAAAATTAAATTCAGTATAATTTTTTTAAAAAAAGACTCGGCTTGTACAATTTACATCTAATTAATATTAACCAATTAAAGCAAATCACTATCAAAAGGAATCAACAAAAATATTGCATGAAAATTTATTTTGCTAATATGAAATTAATTACTCGAGCTACATCTTGGGACAATGTCTACTAAAGAATGTACACATCTCTGTCTCTTAACCACGGCTTGGGAATTTTTGTTGTTGCACAACAAGAATTGAAGCATTAGTATTGGTATCCGGGGAAGCAAGCAAATCTCCAATTACACCCAACTCAGAAAACTCAGTCCAATTCTCAAGTGCTGCTGTTTGAGAGGATTTGATCCCATTTCGTCTCCCAACTATGAAAACATCATGTTGATTTGCTATCTTAGAGACAAAAGCAGTAGTCTTAGAAGGGTCCTCAATGATTATCTTTTCATAAGTCACATTGTCAATCTTCTCGTGGTAACCCTTAACACTCTTCAGCACCTCATCATCCAACATCTTGTCCCAACTTAGCTCACTCTCAGTCGAAGCTAAGTGGTATACAACCAAGTTATACGCACAATCTTTGATGGTCCTCTTAGCCAAGCACAATGCCTCCCTATCATCAGGACCCCCCAAAAAAATCATGGCTATTTGCTTCATGCAAGCGTTGGAAGAACTTGGTCGATTCACAAGAATCCCCACAGAGCATGGTGCTCTTTCAAGAACCTTCAAGTTCAAAGTCCTAACATTCTCATCTGTTGATTCGACGGAACCATCCTTACTCCATCTAATGTGAAATGGAAGAAGGATGATGCATGCGAGTTTGTCCAATGCAAGGTAACATATGTCATCATGCATGAAGCGTAGGGGAGATATGGCTGTGTAGGTACTAACTGATGCGGTTCCAGCATTGTCATGTTCGAAGAGGTTGAAGGTGACAATGACATCTTTAGAGAAGTTGTAATGCAAACCAACACGTTCTTGGAGATTGTGTGAGATGAAGATGGGAGAGGATCTGCCAATTAACTCCATGAGGTGCAAGACGTGAACCGCCAAAGGGTTGCTTGTTGTAGGGTAGAAAATGTCAAGGGCATTTTTGATGGGCATTATGTGCCTTGGTTTGCAGATGCATGCCACCATCCGAAGCTCTGAATTGGGTTTCAAGTTTTGTATGTTCCTTTTTTGATATCCCGCGTATTTCCTTGATGGGTCGTATAAGGCTTTCACCCCAATGCGTGCAATGCTTCCTAACACCAAAACTGATATAGCCATCATGGACACTATTTCCACGCTCATTAACTGCATAAATTGCATATTGCAGAGTGAGAACAAGAGAAAAAGTTATATATTAGTTATGTAACTTAATTTTTTTACCTCTTTCAATAAAATTTAACTATGGATACAATTTACATGAAATTTTATAGATGTTGTTGGTATGTACTTTGATCATAATTTAGATTTGAGAAATGCAATATCTAATTTTGTTTGTATTGTGCTATTTGTATGCAATTTTTCTAAAAAAATGTGATGTGAAAAGAGAATAAATGAGCTAGATAATGGAGTTAGAAAATAGAAGAGATTGTTTAGAAAAGTGAAAATGAGATGCATAATATATGATGATATGCATGCTTGAAGGAATATATGGAGTGGAGTGTTACCATGGAATCAAATAGAAACACTTGTGTGCAAAAGTCCACGACACCTTTGGTGCTCAATAACATAGCGAGACACAAAGCGTCTATTTTGGGTATGTGGCAATAATGACAAACTCCAATGGTTATGAGCATCTTAAGCAAATGCACAACCACAACTACAACAACCACAACGAGAATCAAGGTGCCACTAATGTGCACAGAAATATCAACCTTCATTGCACAACATGTGACAAAGATAGGCAAAAGGAACCACGTGTTGAACAATTCAAACTGCTTAATTAATTCAGACCCCAAGGGAGGACCTTCTGGCACAAGAAGACCAAGGAGTACTATCCCAGCTAACACAGTCTGGTTTGTAAATACTCCAAACAAGCCAGCAGCAAGGGTCATGAGGATCACTAGATAGGTGTATGCTTTCTTCACAGGCCTACCTTCGGGTGTGATCTTGACAATCCACCTCATTATGAGGTGTACAAGAATAATCAAAACTGACACAAAACCAATGAATTTTAGGGCATTGTAGAGGGCAAGTTTAGGTCCCTTGCCTAGTTCATGATCATGAGAGTCAGTTCTAAGGCTGCTTGAAATAGTAGTGCCTAAACCTGTCATAATTTGGCTTATCACATCCATAACAAGGGCTGATGAGAGAGCTAAGCGTCCAAGTTCTGAGTTCAAAATCTGAAGATCAGAGAGAAGAGAAGCTATCACAGGAAAAGAACAACCAGTGTGGTTCATTATTATCACAGGGAATTTTTCTCCATTGAACTCTCCAAAGGTTTTTTGCAAGTTCTCCATGAATTTGTAACTTAGGCTAAGACCAACTATCGTTGGAATCGTCAAGGAGGAAAGAGCGATTGCCCAAACTTTCCTTCCCGTTTTGGTTATCATGCTGAAATCCATTTGCACCGCATTTAGAAATAAGAACATTGTGTAGCCCATTCCTGATGTTAGGCTCAATATGTCTTCACTCCCGTTAGCAAACAACATGTTTTTGTATGGTACCAATGCCTCTATCTTCAGAGAAGGGCCTAGAACAAACCCAGCCTACAATTATAGACACATACATCAATGTTTCTCATATGTAAAGAAACTACAACAAGATTGAAAATTGTTATCACGAATGGTTTCACACTTATGTTTCTTAATCAGTTAATGATCGAGATTCAATTCTCGACTTAGTTATAAAATCATGATTGGAGATACTATTTTTCCTTTAAACAAACCTATCTTATCAGAGGAAATTAAACCTCTTGTTTATATATATAGTTGTTTATATATATAGTTGTTTATATATATAGTTGTTTATATATATATATATATATACCACAATTAATCTTTGGTTATAAATCATTAATGCAGTTTTTAAAGTGTTTTTAGTTTTGTCTTGGATGTTGGATCAGACATATAATTTTATCTTAATATTTGGTATAATAAAAATTTACGTTATAGATTTTCAAATAAAACTGATTGTGACGAGAGAATCACACAAAAAAAATACCTGAAAAATTACATTAAATTAAATTTTGTCCATATAATATTCTTCCTCACGAAAGAACTTTAAGATTTTTTTTTTTTTTTAATAAATTTTTTGGAGAATGACTTCTACCCAACTTATCATGTTATGCATTTATTCCAAAGTTCTGATTTTCCTTAAGAACACATATAACAATGGCATGCTATTAGAAAATCGTTTTTGTATGTAACATGATGTGCAACAAATATGTCACGTGAGATGTTCTTGAAGGAGACAAGAATCAAAGAGAAGAAAAGGGAGAAAGCATGTACCATCATTTGTGAAACGAAATAAGGGAACCCCAGGCCCTTAAGAATCGTATGAAAGCATTGCGTGATGAGGAAAATGATGATAATTTGGAACTGCAACAATGGCATTGTGGCTCTGTTAGGTAATGCGTCATAGGTTGTGTTACCCCACATGCCATCTGATACTATCTTGGCTGGCATTTCAATGGAAACATTATATAAAACATATCTTCTGTTTGGGTCTGAATTGTACTCGTCAAAAACCACTGAACTGAAAATTGTATTGTTTATGCTTGTTATGAGATCATATGTCCCCATGATGTTCCTTGGTAGAAAGAATTAAATTGTTCAAAATACAATAGCTACGTAGAATTATGGAATTTATGATTAGATCAGAATCACAAATGAGCTATTCATTGGCACAAGTCTTTTTAATATGTGACTACATACATTTGGCATAAGTTGTCACAGCTAATTTCTTAGTATCATTTGAACATTATGGTGATGGTACGAGTTTGTCATGTACAGCTTATTTAAGTTGTACCTAAAACAATAAATACAACCACGCATTGTAATTTCACTCCTAAATCAGAAGTTGAATACCGTTTATGTATCATAACCATCATAACGTTTTGCATAATATTATATTAATTAGCAGGCTTTTCCAACTTCAATTTTAATATCATAGTGATGAAAACCACTCAGATTCAATCAATCTACAACAACACAAATTGAATATCATGATTTGAGTCTATTTTATATATATATATATATATATAATGATTTTAGTTTCATGATTTAGTATTACGATTTTAATATCTCCTTAGTAAACGTGTCACTGTTTTAATATTTCTGATTCAATATTACAATTTTAATTTTCTAACATAAATAAATAAATTTAAAAAATGACAAATAAGAGTTTCACATATGAGATATAATCTAACATGAATGATTTATTTATTAATAGTAATTATTTAAAATACTTTAAACGTGGGGATAATGTTACCATTATTGAAATATACAAAAATAATTATAAACACGAATTAAAATATATAAATATGTAATTTAAAAATTTACCCAAATAAACTTCTTTATAGAAAATAAAAAAGAATTTAACAAATAAATATAAATTATTTATAAATAAGATTTATGCTTATTGTCATATTTTAATTGAGCAACGAAGAGTAGTATTTTATAACCCAATATGCAAAGCTTCTTCAAAAATTGAAAGAATAGAAACACGTGTAAATAACACCTCTTCAAATCATGAGATGGGTATGTCGTGGGTGAGTAGTGTTAAGGGAACTTGGATTTAGAATTAGAATAAAGTAAAGAAATGGAAAGGGAAAAAGTGGGTCAGGAAAAGAGAAGAAAAAGAAAGACAAAAATTCTATTTTGGTTCCTTATATTAATTGTTTGTTTCAATTTAGTCTCATTTTTATTTTTGGTCTCAATTTAGTCTCAAACTAATTAATTAGTTTCAATTTAGTCCCAAATTAATTAATTGGTTTCAATGTGGGACTTCCGTCCAAATTATTTAAACGAAATTAACTTTTGGCCACGTGGATGCCACGTAGATGCATACGTGGATGATAATTTTTTTGAAAACACCTGGACCTAGAACGGCCCGTTCTGAAACCAGAACGGGCCGTTCTGGTTTCACTTTTGGTGTGTTAATTTTGCAACTGAAACACACCGTTCTAGATGCAAAAATTAACACACCACCAGTGCAGCAGAACGGGCCGTTCTTAAACGGGCCGTTCTGGATTCAGAACGGCCCGTTCCAAAACTGAGAATATAATATTCTTGACTTAATTGTGTTTTTGATCGCTCAAGTATTATAATTATGCAATTTTGATCCCTAAAGTTTTAACTGAGTAATTTCAGTCCTTAAAAGATTAGAGTTGTGTAATTTTAGTCTCACAATTTTTAATTGAACAATTTTAATCTCTCAAATATCATAATTGTGCAATTTTAGTTTTTCTCATTAAAAATTTAATAATTTTAAAATTTTAATATATATATATATAATGTTTTAAAACTATATAATTGTTTGCTTATTTAAATTAACGTATAT